TTTTTTTTTTTAATGGGAAATGTGTAAAGTTGGACTCACGATCCTTTCCCCCCTCCCTCCTCTCTCCCCAAGCTGTGGTGTCCGTGGACGGGAAGCCGGTGAGACTGCAGCTCTGCGACACAGCTGGCCAGGTCGGTGAATCCGCTCGCTTGGCTCCGGGCATGGTGGGAGGGGACAAGTTGTCTCACAGAGTAGCCCCGCTAATGACTTCGTGGCTTTGAAAGGGTTCCCAGTGTTTGATCATCTTATTAAGCTGCTTGCGTTTGTGCTTCCCCCCAGTGCTCCGTCCAGTGTGTACAAAAGGTGGGGGCTGGGGGGGCATCCTGTGCCTCCCGTGGGTGGGCTGGGCACGGGCTGCTGCTGCTCTGACTCCATCTGCTGAGAAAGACCAAGTTCCTGGGGCTTGGGGCTGCCCGGGCTTCTGCGGGACCCCGGCTGTGCCCCCTGAGCAGTGCGCAGCCCTCCTAGGGAGCAGGTTGAGGCTGGAAGCTGGAGGGATTTCAGTACCTGTCTCCCATCGGGGAGCAACGGGATTTAGGGTTTTAAATAGCTGATGGCCGAGTGGTTCTCGGCCTACACCTTCACCAAAAGCACCCTGGAAAATCTCAGTGGCCTTAACATACAAACCTATTTAGGTGAGTTGTAACTGGGCGCCCTACTTAGGGGAGGAATTTGAAGGGCCTCAATGTCCTAGACAACGCTGTAGGACTCATTCTTGTGCCCTACAAACCTAAATTTATAGATTCCCAACAGCCTCTTGTGGAAGATAACATGAGAGGAAACAGCAGATCTGTCCCATGATTTAGTGTCCGTCTGAAGGGACAAGTTGGTGCAATAGCACCCTCTCAGCCTTGGTCGAGACCTGCTCATGCACAAAGTGTGGCAGGTAACATTGCCATCGGAGCAGGGTGACAGCCCATGAAAGAGCAACTGCAGGAGGGATTGGCAGGTCCTGGTCACCTCTTGCCTTGGCTGCTGCTGATGGCCAAGGTGTTTGTTCGACCTGTTTGATTCCAAGTGTGACTGGAATGGGTATAGGCATTGAAGATCCAGAGTCTATCTAAAATGACAGAAGTCATCCTGAATAAAAGACACTTTGGTAAAATAGTGCTTGCTGAAATGTGTGGCTAAAAAAGACACTCCAAGCAGAGTGACACTGTAGGTATTTTAGTGYTGTGAGCCCAAAGAGAGGTAGGTTCTCTGCAGCTCCTGTATTTATATTAAAACTGTAGGAGCGTACATGGAATAACATGGAGTATGGGGGCTTATCTGGGTAGAAATCTGTAAGAGCAGGATTTGGCTTGTAAAACCCTGCTATCCAGCTCTTTYGGGTTTCTCACACTGCAAGAATAGGCAATTATGTGGCAAGGTGCTTTTCTCTAAAAGGCCCTGTCACCCTGTACAGAGCTGCACTTTTCAGYAAATATAGGGTTTCTCTGAAGCCAAATGGTGAGAGCCTGCTTTCCCGTGAGACTTAATCCAGGAATCAAGCGAGYTAATGAAGCTTGCTTTCTTGACTCTTCTTTTATAAATCATTGTCTCTCTCTGAGTTACTGCTGAAAAAGATTCATTGAAGTGCAGCGAGACTTTGGAGGCTTCCAGTGGGCTTTAAACTGCATGTCACAGGCCTTCAGAGGCTTTAAAACAAAACCTCAAGTCTTGAAAATCACACGCAACTTGCAGCTKAGCAGTAAAATCCCAGTGCCAGAGAGGTGTGTTCAACTGTGTTTGCTCTTTGCACTGCTTTAAATTAAGAGCTTTTGAGAACACGGTGCATTTTTAATTAAAATGTCACTGCAGTAGAGGCAAATCCTACCTGCTCCAGCTGCTAGTGTTACTGTGCTTTTATCCTGCTGTCAGCAGGAAAGCTGCAGGCGGTGTGGAGTTAACCCTTGCTTGCTGGTGGGGTTGGCCCTTGCTTGCTGGTGGGGTTGGCCCTTGCTTGCTGGTGGGGTTGGCCCTTGCTTGCTGGTGGGGTTGGCCCTTGCTTGCTGCTGCGATTTTTCACTCCCAGCTCTTCTGGGAGTTGCTTTCTTGTGGCTAACTCCTGAAGCTGAAAGAGGGACCTTTTCTTCTTCTAAGAAGGAGGAGAGGGAGGAAAAAAAAAAAAAAAAAAAGAAAGTTAGCACTGGGAGAGCTGTTTGCAGTTTGTTTGATGTGGCGGGTGCAAGGGAAAGCAAAGCTCTTAGGCCCTGCCATTGGCATGTTAAGCCTGCACATTGTGATTCCTTATTGCTGCCATCAGATTTAAATCCCCGGGCACAAAAGCAGGGAAATTATTCCCATATCCTGTAGGATGTTGTTAAGTAGTCAGCAGCTTAAACCCATCCYGGCCAGTGTGCACTTGCTGCCACTTGTCTGCTCCGCTGTCCCGGGGCAGGAGGGCAGCGTGTGCCGTGACTCAGCTGCTCCCTGACGTCACCCCTCAAAGGCAGCTCYCTGTAAAGGCTGCAAAGTCCCTCCTGGACTTCTGTTTTTAGCCCYGTTGCTGGTATGCCTTAACCTGCTTGGTTTTGCCCTTTTGCTGATCCTTAACTGCTCCAAAAGCCTGCATTAAGGCAGAGCAGGGAATACACCCGGGAATTCTCTCTTTTTTTTTTTTCATGTTGTTTTTACTGGGTGCTAACGCAGCTTCGCTCCCCGCAGGATGAATTTGACAAGCTTCGTCCTCTGTGCTACACCAACACGGACATCTTCTTGCTGTGCTTCAGCGTGGTGAGTCCCTCCTCCTTCCAGAACGTGAGCGAGAAGTGGGTTCCCGAAATCCGATGCCACTGCCCCAAGGCRCCCATCATCCTGGTTGGGACCCAGTCGGACCTCCGGGAGGATGTCAAGGTTCTCATCGAGCTGGACAAGTGCAAAGAGAAGCCGGTCTCAGAGGAGGCCGCGAAGCTCTGTGCCGAGGAAATCAAAGCTGCGTCCTACATTGAGTGCTCTGCTTTGACTCAGAAAAACCTCAAGGAGGTTTTTGATGCGGCCATCGTGGCTGGTATTCAGTACTCGGATACCCAGCAGCAACCAAAGAAATCCAAGTGTAGGACTCCAGACAAGATGAAAAACCTCTCCAAATCCTGGTGGAAAAAGTACTGCTGTTTTGTATAGGAGTTGCAAGGACACAAGCGCTGCTCTGAGGAAATCAAATAGAGGCTATATTAGCTGAAATCTCATTCTGTGTTGTCCTGAGTGTATAGTGTAGATCCTAATGTATGTGTATATGTTGCTACTGGATATCTCGGTTGCCCTTTTGAGGGTGGCGGAAGGATTTTTAGATAAATAGTTACCAGAAATCAGGTCTGGCATCAATTTTCATGACTAAAATCTTTCATAAAGGAAGAAATGCACCATGTGTCTCTGAGATTAGAAGGATTTGTACAACAGATTTGACTCCTTGTGCCATGATGCAAATGCGATGGGGAGGAACAACTTAGAGGCTTTTGCTGTGAGGGCTATTCCTGAGAAAAGTGCGAGTGACTGGAAACGTAGAGCTCCGTTCATGGACATTAACGGGAAAAATAACACTGTGCCTCCTAACTGACGTTTTTAGCTTTAAAAACCCACTCCCGTGCTCTTCTCCATGTTTTCCCAAAGCAACATTCTTAGGGATCACTTTAAAAAGGGTGTGCAAGTGGTGTAATCTATGCTCAAATGCTGTAGCTGGAAAGGTCACACATATACCTCCAGTCTGCCGTTAGGGAACCTAATGCATTAAGGACCTGACATCTCATTTGTCACCTCCTGACTTGGAAATCGTTTTCCCCCATCCTTCCCCCGTCCTTCCCAGGCAGTTGTTTGGACRCCCAAGGAACATTGCTAAGCTTTAACTCATTGCTTCAAATAGTGGTGAGTTCCTCTGTATTTATAAGACTTGACAATAGCTCATCTTTTTCGGCTAAAAGGAATGTAAATGTTGTTGTGTTGAGTTTTTTAAATGTTCTTTTCAGAGCTGTTACAAGTATCCATGCAGCAACATGCAAACTGCATCCGTTTTTGTTTTGTTTTAAGTCTGCAACCAGGAATTACAGAATGCCCCTTCTCATCCTTTTAGGCTGCTACGCAAAATAACAAATAGGGCAGATAAAGATTATAAGCCACTGGGCTCTGGAAACTGAGACTCTTGTGTCCTCCTCATGATGCTGATTTCGACCGAGTTAATGTTTCCCTTCTAAAGGCAACAGTTGCTTGTTGTTGAACCTGGTCCAAGATCACACTCTGGGAATTGGCCGAGGTCACTCTGGAAACTTAACTGATAATTCCTTCCCAGATCAGTCCAAGAAATGAAAGTGAAATGTACCCAAAAAGTTGCTGGGTGATTAACACAACATGGAATTGAATGTGACCTGCTCTTTGACTAAATCTGATTCCTGCAAAACTAAGCCTAATTCCAGCCCCCTTGGGCTCAGGAGACCTTTGGGGTAACGTGGCTCTCTGCAAGTATCAGCATTTTAAGTTATTCTGCAGAAAACACCTAGTTTGTGTTGTCTGTCTGTCTTTTATGACCCTGACTGCTTTTTTTTTTTTTTTTTTTTTTTTTTTTT